ACTGTAAACAAGAGCCATGCCCTCCACTGCTGGCTGACCTTGGCCCTCAGGCATCTGGCACCTTCCAGCTTGCAAAGGCAGGCCTCGGCTTTTGTTTGGATGTCCCGCTCCCTCCCTTTTCCAGAGCAGGTAGAGGAGGAGGGAAAGGACTGTCCCAGTTGGGTAACCATTTGTCAGTGCTTGCTTGGTTTTTAATATTGATTGTTATTAATTTTCTTCGGAATGCAGACATGAGGTGTTCTGGTTCAGAGCCAGATTTATTATCAATTGCTTTAAATTAAATAATAAGTGCATCGCCTTCACTTACACCAGGCCTCACCTCTGGCCAGGAATCAGTTGTCCTATGCAAGTAGCTGGACACTCCACAGGTGAGGCACAAGGAAAAATAATGTTTCCTTAAAAAAAAGGAAGGAGGTTACTATCCCCCTCCCTTTCTGAAACTCTCCTTGGAAAACTTAAATGGGCTTGAAACCTAACTCCAACCCTTTGGTATGTAAATAGTCTTTCCAGGAGCTAGACAGCCATCAGTGTCTCTGCTTTTACTGTCTAGGACAGTCTCCAAGTTCTGGAACTTCTCTTTTGAAGTAAATACCTGGGGAGATGACCCTGGAGTCTTCTGGCACCTTGGGGCTTAACCTAGGGACCTGGGCCCAGCTGGAGCCCTTTGGCCTCTCCCTGAGATAAGAGGAACTTTATCATCCTTTCAGAGGTGAGCAATTAACTTGACAAATGACTACAGATCTAATTATCATGGTATGTGAAGAGTCTCCGGAGGCCAGGGCTTTTTCCCTGAGAAATTCAGGGAAGTTTTATTTCCCCATAGTCTCTATAAAAACATGCATACAGACTGCGGGTGGTCAACCCCCCCTTTCACATTTCCAGATTTCTGAAACCCAAAGTGTTTTGCTCCTTAAAGAAAGGGAAAAAAGAACTTGAAATATTCCCAGACAGGTCCAAATGAATAATTCAGATAATACTGAAAACTTCCATGTTTAAAACATTTTAAAGTCAGATTGACCTGAATTCCATGGAGGATACTATATTGGATGACTTTGGGCAAATTTGTAATTAATAGCACCCACCAGGAAAGAAAGCTACCAGGAAGAAGTAAGAGCCACAAAAGTTTGTACCAAAAAATAATACTTTGCATTCTATCAGAATCTAAATTTACTTCAAAGGATAGACCTGAGGATGTAGGTAGATCCTTTTTAAAATTACTCCTTTGGATCACTACATGATGTCTATGGAAAAGAAATTTTTGAAGACTAAAAAAGGAGATTAGAAACTTCGTATGATTCAGATTTGAATTATCCATTGCAATCTGAGATAATTCTTCCAGATATGAGTAATACCCCTGAAAACAATAAACTGAAAAAAGAATAACGCTTGTTGAATCAGCATCTCCCAGACTTGTTTAGAAGGAAGTCAGTGGGCACCCACCCATGTTTAATAGCGGAACCCTAACGATATCTGCATGAGATTGCTAGCATGAAAGAAGAGAATAGTTCTCTTAATTTGTCAGCCAATGATATGACGTTGAATGACACAACTAACAAACAGCACTCAAGCTATGTATGCTTGGGGATTTGGAATTGTTCAGCAACTCCTTGTTGATGTTTGCAGGATATCTAAGAGAAGAGGCGATTACTCTTTTAGAAAAAAATATAACAAAATAAGGAACTGGTCAGCTATAGAAAATTTATGTGTTTCTTTAATGTTTTGTTTCATCACAAACTTTCGTTTCGGCTGAAAGCTTGCTTAATTCTCTTTTAACCCTATGTATTAGTAAGCTGCATATTTGTGGGATCTTCAGTGAGCTTTCTTGTATTCAGTTGAGTGTTTTATTACTCATACTTAGCACAGAACTGCTGATCTCAGTGCCTTTAGAATGCTAGTGCCCCATGTGTTGTCATTGGTTCTTTTTTTAACTTATTTATTTATTTATGGCTGCGTTGGGTCTTTGTTGCTATGCGCGGGCTTTCTCTAGTTGCAGCGAACGGGGGCTACTCTTCCTTGCGTTGCGCGGGCTTCTCACTGCGGTGGCTTCTCTTGCTGCGGACCACGGGCTCTAGATGCGCGGCTTCAGTAGTTGTGGCGCACGGGCTTAGTTGCTCCGTGGCATGTAGGATCTCCCCAGACCAGGGCTCGAACCCATGTCCCCTGCATTGGCAGGCGGATTCTTAACCACTGTGCCGCCAGGGAAGTCCCTGTCATTGGTTCTTTATTGGGTGTTTGATCTTTAGTCTTGATGTTGCTTAGATTTGGTATTTGTGTGACTTGGATGTCCCTGCTTCATCTTAGCCTTCTCATCCTCGTGTGCTAGCCCTGGAATGCCACCCTCTGCTTCCTTTCCACTGGATGCTGTGTCCAGCCATCTGGGCTCTAGGTTTACATCCCCTTTCTTCTTATTTTATAACCTTTTAGACTTTTATGGCTATGGAAATGATGTATGCATGGACCCATACTCCAGTCCTTGTTTCCTTTGAGGTCTGCATTTTATATGTATCCCCTGCAGGCATTGAAAGAAGAGTTTTTTGCTTTCCTTCTTTTCTTTGAGCCCCAGCATGGCATTTGGTACTTTCCTTTATTCACATTGTGGAATACATTTTTTGAGGTAGTCCAGTGGTTTACAATTTTGGGACAACTTGTCTTCATAATTCCCTTGATATGTTTCTACCCCCCAAATTATGTAATTTTTCAAGAATATCGTCTATCTAGAAGCTTGGAGTAGCCCATAATTCTGCTCATTTGTAATCTGAGAGTTCTGATTCTTCCACTGAAATGGAATCTGACAACACAAAAGCACAAGCAAAACTGACTAAGCACACAGCCTTAGCTTTTAACTGATTCTATGCCTTTGACTTACTAAAGCAAAATATTTTTATTTAAGGACTTATTTTTTTTTCCCCTCTCAAGCAATTCTATTCTTGCAAGCCTTTATCTCCAGAAGGAATCCAGCAAAAAAAATTAATGTTGTTTGTATTGATCTATACATTGATTTAAACGGCTAGGTAGCAGTTCCACTGATAGTAGTGGAAAAACAGAAAGGGGGAAAAAAACCCTCCATCATATGAAGGGCTTAATTTGAACAAAAGAAATTATTTCGATTGAATTAAATAATTCAATTATCTACTTGAATGTAACTTGCCTTATTATTAAAAAAAAACCCAAATGAAATACTAGGTACATCTGGTATATGCACAAAGCTTGGAAACGAGAAGTGCTCGGGCAACCAGGATAAGAAGTGACATTTTTCAGCTGAGCCTTTGTTGTCGGAGATCAGCTCATGGAGTCGACATGTCCATTAATCAAAGGACACTTATATGCAGCAAGCTGAAAAGACAGGCTTGAATTGCTGAGTCTTCATTACAGGGAAAATAACTCTTATAAAATCCTCTAAGCAGAGCACCCTTATCAACAAAGAAGAGGTAATGACTGTGACATCTATGGATATACAATTTCCAAATGAAATTTCAGGATAAAAAAAATGGGGGGTGGAGAATAAGAAATATTTACATTTCAATGGGTGCCAGTTCAGAAGGTAATTGTTCACAATAACCTAATATATTTTAAATCACCATGAAATTAATCGCAGGTGTTTTCCTTATTTGGCTTTGACGCTTTGCACTGGGCAAATGGGCCTTCTCGACGGTTTTGGTTACATATTTAAGCATTATTAGAATTTAAATATTCTGTTTATGGCAAGTTTGCTTTTCAGCTCTGTATGTTTGAAACTCTCTTTGAATTTGTCAGATAAAATTGAGCTGATCCAAAGAAAACATATCATCCTTTATGTAACTGTCAGGCATAAACGAGGTACATCTGGTAAGCTTACAGGTTAAGGCGTGCATTTAATGGCAGGTAAAATATAGAAATCAGGCACAGACCTGTCTCATAAGTCCATCATCCATAACTCGCTACATTCTTTTATGTTGTTAATGCCCTTCCTTCAAAGCTGTCTCCCAGACCTACCCACTGGATTCTGATTCCAGTCATAAAGAGACTGACTGGTTTTCCTTCCGTAGCTTCTGCCTTTTAACACTTCTAGATTATGAATTTCCCAAGAAAGCAGTAATCTGCAGGTGATGTGTATTGGCAGTTCCAGTTTCCCTTCTGTCTCTATGGGCACATACATTCTTGTCATTACGAGCGGCCTTATTTTTGGTTTGCAAAATAGGGTCACCTCAGTGCAATGGTCCAGTTTCAATGTCGTGCCATATGCATTTCTGGGGTCATGCAATAATAATTTCTTCCCGTGTAATGTATTCATCAATAGTTAGCAAGATTCTATCAGACCTCAATGAGGTAGGATGAATAAGAACAGGTTTATAAAGTAATGTGCTCTGCAGATATAGGTTATTATTATTTGCAAGTATAATTACGCACTACAATAGGATCTTCCATCTCTAAAGAGATGGTTTAAGTGTAGGACTGATTTCTCTCCTCCCCACTCAAGGGCCCTTATATACTTGTGTCTATAAAATACCTACCCTTTAAAATGTTCTTAAGTGTCTATAAAATACCTACCCTTTAAAATGTTCTTAAGTGTCTATAAAATACCTACCCTTTGAAATGTTTGCTTTGCCCAGAGAGTTGTTTCAGTGTCATTCTCCTCAGTGTATGTTCAATTTTTAAAAAATGTTTTATGTGTTTGTTCAGCTGGTTGGTTGATTCTTGTTTTTGGCAACTAGAAATTAATTTAGAAATCAAATATCAGGTTAATGAAATTTTTAGGTCAGTACGTTTTAATGGAACTTACACATGAGCGTTATTTAGACACTGGGGTTTTGCTGCTTCTCTCAGAATTGTCCCTAATATTTTCTACAATGTTAACTGGCAATATTTGGATTTTTAACGTTTCTTATCACACTCCAATGAAGGTAAAAACAGAAATTTGAAAAAATGTGTACATTTTAAATCAAATACTTAGTGTGTGGTTTTACCGAGTTATTAGAGTTCTACACCATAGGTGCTTCAAAAGTACCTTTCCTCCCAAGGTAAGGATTTAATTAGGATAACAAGCAGCAAATTGATAAAAGAACAGGAGGACTCAGGAATTGTTTTGTTGTCGTCTTCATGTTTCAGACCTCCTAACTGGCTGCTTAGTATGTGTTCCGAGGTTAGTTATTCCATCACCAGGTGAAAGGACTTAAAGTCACTGAAGTTAGGCCTCTTGATTTAACTTCACATTTGGCCTCATTACTTGCTGTCGCATGAAATAACTACGCTTGAGGTTTCCTTCTCCCATCTATCCTCTACCCCTCCGCCTTTCTCCTCGCTGCTGCTGTGCCTGTGAATCACTAGATGGTGCTAAGACCATCTAGTTGGTTATAGCTGCCAGAGACTCAGGAAAGTAGTTATTGGAGGAGTCAAGAGGGCTGGACCTGAGAACAGGAAGATCCCTTCAAAGGTAATCTGGGCAGCACTTCCGTTTTACAAACGAGGAAACTGAAACTCAGTGAAAATAAGCAATTTGTCAGAGTCCCCTAGACTTTTCTTCTTCTTCTCCTCCCCCTTCCCCCCTCCTCCTGTTTGTTAATAGCTCCCACTGTAATCTCATCACCTGAGAAGGAGCCCAGGAAGGAATAAATCTCAGAGAGTGAGTCGGCCAGATTTGCTGTGCAGAAAGAGCATTCTGACAGCTGCAAGGTATCATTTACCAGGTACCATTCATTCACTCATTCATTCATCCAAGAAACAGCTGTCGAATGCTTACTTTTTGCTTTGCACAGTGCCAGGCGCTGGCAATAATTAAAAACAAATCAGATAAGGATCCTGGGAACTCACGTTCTCTTAGGGAATATAGAAACGAAGGGGAAAAATCACACCTTAAATCAAAGATGCTTTCATAGAAGTGATGATAGTACAGTCTGGTCACTTAGAGGAATTTGCAACCAGCTGCATGAGGAATTTAAAGGGAAGATTTCAGTGAGGGAACATTAGAGGCTGAAGGACACATAGGGTCATGGAGGCTGAGAAATGGAAGGAAGGGCCTCGCAGGCAGAGAAGAGCAAGAGAGAAGGAGGAGAGGCTGCTGGAGAGCAGCTGCTGTGGCCGATGCCCAGAGGGCACAGGGCAAAGGGACAGCTGGCAATCCTGGAAGGAGGGGACCGGCCTCCGAAGGCCTCGCCTGAGGTGTTACACACTTTATCTGGTGGGACGGCCCAGGAAAGAGTAGAGCTCAGAGAATGTCCATGCTCAGAGAATGGCATGGACAGATTTGCTTTCCAGAAAGAGCACCCTGGCAGCTGCATGGAAGCCCAGAGGCAAGGAAGCCTCAGAGGTGGAGGCTGGTGTCACAGAGCAGCGGGAGGTCGGGGTGGCAGTAGGGCTGGCCGGGGGAGGTGTTGTGTGAGGGAGATTTCAGGAGTGGAAGCGACCGTCTTCTCTTTGAAAAACAGTGATTGGGCCTGTAATCCATATCCTTAGAGGGTTGTTACAATTCTGGTGCTTGAATTACTTATAAAGCATTGAAGAAATTATTTTAATTAAATGCATATATTACTTGGATAACATTTTGGAAATTATTTTAAAAATGCAATTCAGTGGCATTCCAAGTTGAAGTACAGAAAATCCTCCTGTAGAGCAACCCTCCCACCCGACTTAAAAGGATTATGAATACACGGCCCTATTGTCCTCCCTCAGCACCGACTGGTTAGAATTAGGAAGAAATAGACCTCTCCTTGCCACCATCTCCATCCTCCTCCCCTTCTGGATCATGCCACTGATGCTTTCCTTTTATTTGTCCAAATTCTGTTCCCACCAGAGCACTTTTCTTCGGGCTGCCACCACTGATGATGGCATCGTCTTTCTCTCCTGACCCATCGTTACTAAGACCAGCCCGAAGTGGCCTGCTTGCTGGGGAGCTGTGCCTTTCTTTGTAGGTGGAATGGCAGAGTTTGGGGGGGCTGCTCTGGGTCGGCCCTGAGCTGTCACTTTTCCCTGGAGGGCCTTTTTAAGAATTTCCAAGTCCAGAGCCATCCTCTTTTCCTCTTGTCCTACTCAAGCAGTAATAATTTTATTATTACTATTAAGGTCTCTTGGCATCCAAAATTAAAAGTCCTGTGGGCTGAATCCTATTTCAAACATGCCTGGGAGCGCTGTGGGTAGAGAGAGGCACAGCGATGTCCTGGGTAGAATGAGGATCCTTTCGAAGTTTGAAGCATATGATAATTTCTTTGTTTTGTCTACATAGGTTTCCAAGCCTGGGGTTTTCTTTAAGAGGTAATGAAAGCTCCCATTTATTGAGGGCTTACCACGTGTCAGGTATGTTTTTATTTTGTCTCTAATGCTCCGGGATCCTCCCCTGCCAAGAAATGTCTGCTCGGCTCTCCCCTTTGGCCACCCACTGCGCCCCCAGGCCTCACTGTGTGCCAGCACGTGATGGGGCTCCGTGCAGGTCTAAAGAGTGTTGACTCTCCGCATTACACATGAGGAAGCTGCGGAGCGGGTTATGGGCTCCGCTTCATTATTCGCGTATGCATTGAACAAGTACTTAGTTTAGACAGAGCAGTTAAGGGAGGCTTCTCTGAGAAGGTGACGCCTGAGCTCAAGGGTGGGAAGGAGCCGTCATATATGGAACGGAAGAGCTCTCAGGCCTGGGCTGCTGTGGGGAAGCCCACTCTGCCGGGATTTGTACCCAGAAGCTCATCCTCACTTTTTGATTGTCTAAACACATTAGTGACCCGTCTTCCTACTCCCTGAGCTCGAAAATATTTTTCCTGTAGGAGAGGGTTTGTTTGATCACATGGCACCCTCTGCCCCTCCACACTGCCGTGAACATTGTCATGTGTGTCCGCTGAGAAGTGCCAGCTGCTTGGACCACAGTTCTTGCCGCCTGCAACGTGATGTTCCACGGCTTCAGTGGAATGTAGAAATCTTTTCACCATATGGACTTTTTTTTTTATATTTATTTATTAGTTTGGCTGCGTCGGGTCTTAATTGTGGCACATGGGATCTTTGTTGCGGCATGTGGGATCTTTTGTTTTGGCATGTGCTCTTTGTTGTGGTGTGCGGGCTTCTCTAGTTGAGGTGCACAGGCTTGTCTCTAGTTGTGGCGCGCAGGCTCCAGAGTGCGTGGGCTCAGTAGTTGCGGCACCGGGCTTAGTTGCCCTGCAGCATGTGGGATCTTAGTTCCCCGACCAGGGATCGAACATGCGTCCCCTGCATTGGAAGGTGGATTCTTAATCACTGGACCACCTGGGAAGTCCCCACCATGTGATTTTCTTTACTCTGCCCCAGTTGAGCTCATTGGAGCTCACAGAACAACTATTGATCCTACTATGAATGTGCTTTGCCTTAAACCTCTTGAAGTAAAATATGAATGAGTAGGACTGCTGGTTAAGCATGGAGGCTGGAGCATGTGCATTTATTTTCACTCTGTCCTGAACCCAAATGAAATGACTATAAAGGATTTGAAAAGTAAAAACACATAAGGATGAAGATAATAGAAGAGGAAACCACAGCAGACAAAAGATGTCAAGGAATCTGGACTTGGAAACACCTGGCACAGAGGGGTGGGTTGTTGAGGCACTGAACCCAAAACAGGGATCAAGTGGGACTCTGACTCGGAACAATGAGGCATTTGGCCTTGCTTCCTCTCTTAGGTCTCAGAATATCAGTAGCCAGGATTATTACCCAACCTAGGCCAGAGACAGGACTATTCACTTCCGGGAAAGTTGACCAGCTCAAGAGAAAAGCCCTAATGGAACTGACAATGGAGGCCCTCCAGTGAAAGGTCCCGATCCCCACTCCATCCCCCTGCAGGAAGTCCTCCAGTCACAAGCTCTTCCCATACAGCAATTTCCAATTGACTTTGTTGTGCTCCATCCTGAAATATAAACAGAAAGTCAAGAATACTTAACAGGAAGTCTGTATCTGAAACACAGATACCGCAATAAAACAAACAGGAGAAAAGAGAGAAAAAACAGACAACCCAGGCAGCAGAAAAGAGAGAGAGAGAAAAAAAACCACCCTATAATTAATAGTCCCGGAGTGATGAGATGCAAATACAGTCTTGAAATGTTCTTTTAAAACTGAATATTCAAAAAACAACCTCTGGGGAATTAAAAATATAACGTGAGGGGGAAATCAGTAGGTGGGTTGGAAGATAAACTTTAGGACATTTCTCATGAGCTAGAACAAAAAGAGAGAGAGATGAAAAATAGAAAAGAAAGGTAGAATCAAATCAGAAATTAAAAAAAAAAACAGACCCAAAGGAATTCTAGAGAGAACTAAGAAAAATGGAGGGGAGGAAAGTAGCAAATAACACAGGAAGTTTCCCACAACTGAAGCATGTGAATTTCTCCAATGAAAGTATCCTGCTGAGTGTCTAACACAGTGGATGACATTCTTTAAGGAATCATATATCTTAGGTTTGTCCAGGTATTTTCACAGTGTGCTTGTTACTCAGAGATTACCACTACTAAGTGGCAGAGGAAAAGTAGTTTCTTCAAAAATTTCACATTACAAACAAGAGTGAACCACTGGAAATCCTTTGAGTCTTAGCATCGTGCTGTGAAGAACATTAAACACATCCTCAGCGCCTCTACCCAACATCTGTTCTAGAAGCAGTAAGTTTATGTCTTTCATTCCTAGAAAACAGGGCGATAACTCTGTAGTTTAATAGACTGTACTGACTTTCAGATTCTTCAGGAAGTTCCACTGGGCACCCACCGAGCGCTTGACTAAGTGCTTTAAGATAATTCCACCGGGAATGACAAAATGAGTGCCTTCACAGATACACACACACACAGCAGTTGATCTCAATTGATCTGGTGTGTGTAACTTCTATTGTCATTATCTACAAGGTAATTCATCTCAATTAAACTGGTCTGTAGGGAATAAATTGATGTGTGAAAACTGGGTTTCATTGCTGTGCTTGTTTACAACTCACCCTTTCTTCTTACCAGAAGAAACTGCTATGGTTAAGTGTCTTCAATTGGTTAATTGGTTTTTGCTTCCAACAGTGCGGCCCAATTTCTGACTAATGGCGCTCCAGGTATAAACCTCTAAAGCTTCTTGCTAACCTCTCTGCTAATCCCTCGTACCATCTGATCACTCAGCACTATTGCTGACTGCTTATTAAAAAGCCCTTAAAAAGTGGGTTACTTGTCACGACATCTAAAGAGAATATTGTTAGGATTCTAGGGTTAATGTTTCACTGAGGGGAGAAAAAGTGGAAATTAAATCATAGTAGAAATGTTCTTGCAAAACTTAATTTTATGTGATTATTTTCCACGTTGAAAACAAAACAAAGTTTAAGGTCACTGCCTCCACTGCCTCAATTCTTGAGATTTTTTTTTTCTTCTAACAGAAATACCTTGAAAAGTATATAAACCTCTGCAGTTTTTCTTTAAGGCCGGCTAAAGTTATCACAAGCAGAAAGTCCTAAGTTGTGGTAAATGTTTCTGTTAAACACACGCTGTGGTCATTCCTTGGGCTTCTGTTTAGAGACGCGTTAGTGGTCAGTAAGTACACAGGACTGAAAATGAGATTCATGAGGCATCTTAACGCTGGTCCTGAATTTCAGCTCTCTGTGTGGTCCTCCTTCTGTAGTTAAATCACTCCTGTTCACTTCCATCTTCATGCTAAAGAAAACAATGACTAAATAACAATCATTCCAGGACACTTCTTACTTCCCAAGGGCACCATAATAACAAATGAACACCCATGTGGATAAAATGAGCTTATGGCTTTAGTGGATGTCTCAAAACGCATAGCAATTTCAGGGCATTCGATATAAAACAATGGATTGATAATAAAACTTTGGCTTCTGATTTATTTTATAATTAACAACAAAGATGCCCTAATAATAATTTTTCAGAGTATTTAAAAATTGTTTAGCAAAGGACCCTTCTAGCATCAGGACTTAACTGAAAAGTATTTACTCTTGAACAATAAGATGACGAAAAAGAAGTCTTCATCTTCTCTTATTCACCCATACCACCTGCAAATCCCCTTACAGGACTCACCTCCCCTGGTTATAATAGAAAATTGGGCAGCCCTGTGTGTGTTTGACATGCACGGACTCCATTTGCAAACACAAAGGAAAACAAACTCCTTTTTATTGGTCATTTCTTGGTTTTGCTCATAAAACAGTTACCCTGGGTCATAGTCGAGCTCACAGAATTTATATAAGTAGAAGGCTTACTCAAAACCCAGTACCTGAGTGTTTTTTTGGGGAAGGAAATTGGACCTGCCGGCATGGAACGCACGTGGACCGGTCGTGCAGCTTTGAACCAGCCATGGAAGTGACATTTCTAATCTGCTTTTCTTGTTAACACCCAGATGGAGAGGGAGAGAGAGGAGGGAGGACAGGCTGTGACCAGATTCATTAAAGAGTCAGGGCCAGGATAGACTGAATTTGCACTTGTGTGGGGTGAACAGTGCCATCCTGTCTAGGCCTGGTGGCGAGGTGTCCCAGCCGAACTTGGCACCCCAGCATTTGCAGAGAGGCTGCTTCTCTTAGCATCACTTTGCTTTTTTCAGCAGTAGATATTTCTATTTAGAAAGCTGAATGCCTGGAATAGCCCACCACCAGATTGGAGGCAGCTGGGAGGCCACAGGTAGGGAAAGAGGCATCCTCCAGCTCTGTCTGCTTCTCTCTGCCTGATTTCAGGGCCACAGTGCTCTCAGGGTAGCTGAGGACCCGGGATGGGGGGTGTCCCCCACTGCCCAGCTGCACCCGGGGACAGGGGTGGAGGTCTCCTTCCACCCAGCCACCAGACCTTAGGGGTCAAGGTCCTCCCCTCTGTTTGGGTGGGGGTGAGCATAGGTTTATGAGTGGCTACGGGGGGCGCCTGCGTGGTCTCTCCAGCCCCTCCCCGATTCCCTCTTCCCATCTCATCTCCCTGAGGGGCAGGAAAGTCCAAAAGATCTCTTCTCCTCTCTTTCTCATCTTTGTTTAGCAGAAATTCTGTGTTTTGCAGGGCCTCGCCTTCATTTCACAAATATTTACTGAACCCTTTCTATGAGCCAGGCTCGGTCCAGCTGCCTGAGATATACTAGGAAACAAAATAGAGAAAGGTCTTCACCTGTGGTAGGACTTACTCTGTCTCACAGAGGAAAGCAGATAATGAACACCAGGCACAACAAATAAGTGCATTATTTAGCAGGTCAGGGGTGTTAAGTGCTACAAAGGAAGAAAAGAAAAACCAGAGCAGGTAAGGGACGGCAGGAGAGCTCGGGGGTGGAGGTGGAAGGTGAGGGTTGAGTTTTTATCTTCAATAAGGTCAGGGTAAGCCTCTTTAAGGCAAAGACATCTGAGCATGTGTGAAGGCGGGGAGGGAGGAAGCCAGGTGGATTATTTCCATGCGGAAAGAGTATCAGGCAGAGGAAACAACTCGTGCAAAGGCCCTGAGTGTGCCTGACTTATTTCGGGGGCAGATTGGAGGACTGGGGAACAGTGAGGGCTTGGAGCAGAGAGGTCTCAAGCGTCCCTGGAAGAGCTGGCTTTTCCTTGGAGGGATATGGCAGCCACCAAAGGCTCTGAGCAGGAGGTAACATGATTCAGCTTTAATTTTCACAGGGTCAATAGGTCTGGTGTTGAGTTGAGGAGTGACAATAGTGGGTTAAGGGCTGGAGGTGGGAGACCTATTGCAGGAGCCCAGACAGAGATGGTGGGCACAGTAGAGGTGGGGAGAAGTGGTCAGATTCTGGATGACATTTGAAGGAGGCACTGCCAGGAGTTGTAACTGAGAGGCTGTGGGGTGTGAAAGAGAGTAAGAGTCTAAGACACCTGCAGTTTCCACTTGAGTCTCGGGAAAGATGCGGTTGTTATTAGTTGGGATGGGAAGGCTGGGGAATGAAGCAGGATTTCAGAGGGATGAAAATTAAGGTTCAATTTTGGACATCTTGAGTTCCCACTTGAACGTCGAGAGCCTAATTTACTTTATTTTGCCCTCCTGCTCTAGAATTCTAATTCTTTTCAAGACGGAATGGACCAAAGAGGAGACACGTTGGG